TTATCAAATATTTTATCGTCACTGTTCTTTCATCAATATCGACAAAAGAAACTTTCAAGCATTGACTTTTTCAAATAGTTCTTAATTAGAAAGGTTTACCCCTTCATGATGGCCTTATCCATCGACCATCACTTGTCTTGCTCATATTAATTGCTTCCAAATTTAATACGGCGTTCTTTAGTTTCCGTCTAAACTTTATCCACATGTTCTTATTTTGTTACTAGTAAATATTACTAGTCAATCCACCTGTACGTTGCAAATAATTTACGTTTACAAATGAAATCAATTTACGTTTACAAATAATTTATTTAATGAGTAATGTGTATATACATACTTATTGTATAAAATCAAAATCATGATATAGAATTATATTAGAATACATGTATGATCATCAATTAGTATCAAACTACCAAATATGAATTCTTTCATCCCTAACATATCTTGTCTAATGAAGATGATAACAATTGTTATCATATTACAATCTCATACGTAGTACTCTGTATTATTTAGTTATAATTATGATGATTATTCAACACATGACATTACTTTTTACTATCCTGTTGTGTTTTAAAATTTCTAAATATACTCCATCTAAAAAGTGAAATTATTTACTTTATACTCCATAATATCTCTTCATTCATCTCAATTTTATAAAAGCTACAGATCAAGATTGTTAAAATCACTATATGTTTTAGCTAAAAAAACATTTCAGAATTGGGAAACATTATTTCAAATTGTGATTTCCACGGATTTCTAAAATAGTTACTTATTTACTAATGAACAGTTATAGTAGAATTAAATGAATGAACTTTTGTATTTTATGTTGCAGCTAATTATAAAAAACAATTACACTCTCATTTCGTTAAATTGTGCTAACTTTATTTTTTGCAACTGCCCCAACAAAAATTGTCATTTCATTTAAACTAATAAATGTGTAGGTAAATTATTTTTCTCAACTGATTTGTAAAAATCTCAATCACATACAAAGTAATTTTTACTTTATTTATGTTCCAAATGCAAGTAAATTATGGACGCATTTAATGGGGTAGTGAGCATTATCATTGTCTTTTACATAATATTTGTATCCAAATATATTGCAGTACTCTATTTTATATTATGAAATTAGAACATTCATTTTTAACTTTATTATATTATGTCTCTTAATTAATTATGTATATGTATCTTTTAATATTTTTTTAATATTTATTGTATTTATGCTCAATATAATTTTCTAAAGTTTTATTTATAACTTACAACAATTAATTAGGTTGACACTTAATATGGCTTCACCATGTAATGCTTCATTAATAGTGACAATAATTTTCTAAAGTTTTATTTATAACTTACAAAAATTAATTAGGTTGGCAATTAATATGGCTTTATTAAGTAATGCTTCAATTAACAATGACAACAATTTTTCACTTCTTTTGACTCCAAATAGATTTCTATTTGGATCTCCACCATGTTCTCTCTTTATATATATATAAGAGAGAACAGGAGTATCAATTAATAAAAGGATACATTATTGAATAAAAGCTGGATTGAACGCACAGTAGTGCACGAGATAAGTGATATCTGGCAACAGGAGTATAATGAATTATATCATGAGGGTGTAATTAACCATTTTTAACTTAAAGAATATGTATTTTTGAATTGTGCGTTTATTATATTCAATATTTTCCATGCCAATCAAAAGGTTAATTAAGTTATTACATCTACATGATAGCTGATGAAATTATACAAGTGCGTGGAATTTTCTTTTCCATGTAAAAATACAAAATAAGATTTGTTAAACATATGATACGGATAACCATTAGAACTATTAAATCCGTTTTTAAAACAAATACTCCGTATGAGAATCAAAATGTTACAATGAAAACAGAAAAGTCTAAAAGAGCCTCTAATTCACAAATTTTTTTCTTCCCTATAAACCGAACAGAGGCTAATAGAGCGGATTGTCAATAATATACGGACTATAAAGAAACCCATATTTAATTATGAATTGATAATAGGTAAAATAAAAGCAATTGCATACATAAATCCTACCAAAACTTTGGTTAGCATCGAGAGACTGAACGCTCCATTCGATGACATGAATTTGGGTCATATGGCGGGTACGCCACTGAAAGGGGTATCAATCGAGCGACGGTCCGACCTCCGCCTGAACCACCACCATGGGTTGTACGAGGTGCTAGAGTCCGTGAAAGTTTTCCTAGTAATTTTTATCTGTTTGTCATTTATTTTCTTGTGTTCATTTTTGTTGTTGGTTTTGACAATTTGTTTGAGTTTTTAGCCTCTCTTTATATCATTGGGTATGATTGGATCTATGGGAACAGGTTTGGCTGTGTCAAGCCCATTACATGGTTAGCGATTCGTGTTGCTCTTTTGGGGGTGACCGTCTCAAAGTCTCACCATAGGGTTACAGTCGTAGTTGTTGGAGTTTTAGTTGGTGTCAGTTTTATTTTACCTTTGCTTGATGTAACGATCCTGAATCTTTAATATGAATAGAGGCATGTTTTGATGATCAAAAAAATCCTACCAAAACTTTGGCAAGTATTTTCTTCATTTACAAAAAGTGTACAGCGTTTTCCCCAATCCGGATTAAGTGCTGCGAGCAGAAGTAGAGGCTCAGCTCTTGAAACTGTCGTCCACCTACATTAATGTCTTCCCAATAGGAAGAGGCATAGGGGTGGTTAAAACAAGAGCATCTTCAACTCTTGTCTCTGCTCTCGCCCAATCAAAATATGATCAGATTTTAAGGAATTGAAAGCCGAGTTTGTTGTTCACTGTCGACCTAAATTTGACTATACACGGTACTTTAATTTATGATGATCCATTCATATTTGCTTCACAAAGTTGACTATTTTACCCTCATTTTTATGAATTGAATTCGAGATTGCAACTACCTATATTACTATATACTACGGAGCATGGATATAACAAGGTTTTTAACTTTGCAGTTTGAAGTATACATTACACATGCTTCATTGCAGCATAAAAGTTAAATTTTGAAATGATAAATATGCATACGGAATATAGAATTAGAGATCAGAAAATAATTGCATTGATTGTGTGAATAGTGTACGGAAACAGTAAACGCTAGAGCCAATAGCACATTTTTAAAAAATTCATAAAATTTAAAAAAATGAGTGTGGTTCGGTAACACCAAAATTGGTTCATTTGTTGAAATCCTTATAATTATAATTGAAGCGGATGAAGTAGTTGAACTATGAAGAAACAATATTTAAATATATTCTATTAATAAAATAAATAAAATATATATGTAAATAGCTAAACTCCTCTTTGATAATTTGAGCCTATTAACCTATTTTAATACGGAGTATGTTATTACACTTTATAATCACCGCACAAAATCAAAAGTTATGTACTCCCTCCGTCCCGAAATTAACTTCTCACTTTTCTTTTCGGGCAGTCCCGGAATTAAATTCCCACTTTCCTTTTCGGGCCGTCCCGGAAATAACTTCTCACTTCCTTATTTGGCAACAAATCTACATAGCAAAACAGTGTCAAAACAGTTAAATGTATCCCTCAATAAATTTATTCCCTTAATATGTGTGAATCCAAGTGGGAAGTTAATTTTGGGACGAAGGGGTATTTGATAAAAAATGGCTGATAAAATTGATAACTCGAAAATAGAGGTGTTCAAACTGGATCTGAATCTAACAATTTTGGAAGGTGTTGAATACCAATATGCATTTATTTCATTCTTTTTCCTTTTATCCATACGGAAATGTGTGATTTCCTAATAAATTTAAACAATAATATTTGTTTTTAATTGAAAGAAGTATTATGGTCTGATCTAATACAATTTTGTTTGTTTATGTCTGGTCTGATATGCTCTGATTTAGTTTGATATTATCTGATAGATGTTTATTTTATGTATACTACGTATTTTATAACTATCAAGTAAAAACATCCTAATAATTAAAATAAAAAGTCTCTATATTGGACTTAAATTCTTAAATGTAACGCTTCTACTAATAAGAGATTTTGTCCAAGCTAGACTAATTAGGATATTTTTAATTTAATTATACTTCGGGAAATTTTCCGAAATAGGACTAAATAAGTTTGGAAATTCCAAAATAGGACGGTCATGTTTTTATTCCCAAAATAGGAGTAATTACTGTCAAGTTTGCAAAATACTGCCATCTTTAAAGCATGGTACTGCAAAAACATGACAGTAATTAGTCATATTTTGGGAATAAAAAACATGGTGGTCCTATTTTGAAATTTCTATACCTTTTTAGTCCTACTTCGGGTAATATTTTCTTATACTTCGTAATTTTTTGATCTGGTCTTCTTAAAGTTTGGTCTACTCAGGTAGATGTCTAGTCTATGTGAATTTTACTACCAACGAAGTTTGGTCTATCCTAATCTAATCCAGCCTGGCCTTTTTAGTCTGAACTAGTCTGGTTTGAACTGGTTCGGTAGATTTTTGTTCTATGTATATTTTACAACTGTCCATGTATAGTCTGATTTAGTTTGTTGTATTTAAGTTTGATCTGGTTTAATTTGGCTTGAGACTAATTTAAAACATCCTTACTCCTATGATAAGAAATTTTATTGAGTCGGAGTCTTTTATTACCAAATGAGTCCTATTCTTTTAAATAAAATACAATTAATCCTAAAATTGTTCCAAGTCTTACGATCTTGCTCTTATTTTGTACGTAGTATCACCAACTCCGAGTTGCAAATTGCAATAATAGAATTAATATAATCCCACAATTAATAAATCAGTGTTCTGCTTTCAAAAAAAAAAAATTTAATCCCACAATTTGAATGAATATATTACTAGACATTCTTATTTTTTTGGAATACGACTTTCTTTTTTTTTTCAGAAACCCAAATATAAATGTTGGTTATTTGGTTTGGATGCTTCAATTTTGTAATTATACTGTAGAACATATATGGATATTAAAAGGCTAAGTCAAATAGTCAATGAACTGAGGGTCAACTGACAAGTATTATTTCATTCTCAGGTGACGCGTTTCACTTGCGGCGGCTTTGCGCTTGGCGTCCGGTTCAACCACACCATGGTGGACGGCTATGGGCTGACCCTCTTCTTAAAAACGGTTTGCGAATTAGCCACCGGCGCTCCAGAGCCCTCGGTTTTGCCGGTCTGGGAGAGAGAGCTGCTGACCGCCGCAAATTCATCACCGACGACGACCCAGCATGCCGTGGCGCCCACCAGTACCAATATGAAGTTCAAGCCGCTCGACATGGAGTGGTGGGCCAGCGTGATTGTGGACTTCGAAAAAATGGCAGCCCGGCCCCGTTTCTTCTTCTTCCCCGCCATTCTGAAACCCATTCTGGCCCAACGCTCATTCACCCTCACCCCACAAGACATCCAGGCCCTGAAAGACCAAGTTCTGGAGGAAGGCTTCGGCAAGTGCACCACGTTTGAGGTGATCTCCGCGTGTTTGTGGAAATGCCGCACTGTCGGGCTGCAGCTGCATCCCGACACTACGGTCACCGTCACCTTCCCTAGTGACATCAGGGGAAGGTCATCGGTGACCGGGCTGACGCTTCCTCGTGGGTACTACGGAAATGGTATCGTGATGCTGTCCGCCGCAGCCAACGCCAAGGTGTTGTGCGAGAGCCCCCTCTCTTACGCCATCCAGTTGATCAGAGAAGCCAAGGAGAAACTGAATCTCGACTACGTCAAGTCGGTGATTAATTTCATGGTGGTGAACGGTCGTCCGAGGATGCCGGTGGCGAGGAACTTGCTTGTTTCGGACCTATCGAGAATTGGTCTGGAGAAACTAGACATTGGATGGGGTAACGCCATATATGCCGGCGGCGCCATGGCAGCTTATGGGGCAACTTTCCTAGAGCGTCCAGTGAGTACCGCAAGTGTGGAGAGCAGTGTTTTGGTGCCCATTGCTTTGCCTTACATTTCCATGCTGATTTTCAACCGTGAGTTCAAGAAGGTGGCTTTGTCGTCGTCTAATAAGCGGCCCATGCGCCCATCTATAAATTAAAACGTACTAGTAACATATTTATTCATCATCGTTATCATATTAGTTTCCCAAGAAGGGTTTCTTATATTAGAATGAATTAAGTTCTATTTGGAGAACAAATATTCATATTTGTCAAATTAATTAGCCTTTATTTTGCTCCCATATGAGCAATTTCTCTAAAAATGGTCAAGGAAGTGAGGCATGTTTCATTACTAAAGAAACTACTTCGTACTTAACTAAGTACTCCGTGTGTATACATGTTACAAAAAAACTCGATCACTAACTATATATATACATGCATGTTATTTTAAAGTTGTGTATGCATTGCAATTGAGTTCCATAACACTCCTTCTTTTGGAAATAAAAAATATGTAGTCACATTTATTGATGATTGCACAAGATATTGTACTGTTATATACGTATATCTTTTATTTTCAAAAGATGAGGCAATGGATAAATTCAATTAAAGTTTTTAAAACGAAAGTTGAGTTACAAATCGGAAAGAAAGTAAAAAGGCTTAGAACTGACAAAGGGGGAGAATATTATGAGCCTAAGTTTTTTGAATCCGTTGGAATAATGCATGAAACAACAGCCCCTTACACGCCGCAACAAAATGGCATTGCTGAAAGAAATAATAGAACTTTGAAAGAAATGGTTAATTCCATGTTGTCTAATTCTGGCTTAAGTAATGGATTTCGGGGTGATGCTTTGTTAACTGCTTGTTATATTCTTAATAGAGTGCCTAACAAAAAAAAGTAAGATTACCCCATATGAACTTTGGCACAAAAGAACACCCCAACTAAGTTATCTTAGGGTATGGGGTTGTAGGGCAATCGTGAGATTACCGGAACCTAAACGAAAAACGTTAGGTGAAAAGGGGGTAGAGTGCATATTTATTGGATATGCTGAACATAGTAAATCTTATTGATTCTATGTTATTGAACTGAATGACTCAATTGCAGTTCACACTGTTATTGAGTCTAGGGACGCTCTTTTTGATGAGAAGCGGTTCACTTCTATTCCTAGGCCAAAGGATGTTGATCCCGGTCCAAGTAATTCACACTTACATGAACTGGAAAAGGATCATGAAAATGAGCCTGAAATAAGACGGAGTAAGAGGGCTGGAAAAGAAAAGTCATTTGGTCCTGATTTCCAATTATATTTGGTTGAGGGATCAAGAGAGACCCTTGAAACTCAAACACTATATTGTTATAGTGTTGAAGAGGATCCTAACTCTTTTGAAGAGGCAATGAAATCTCAAGATGCTTCCTTCTGGAAAGAGGCCGTGAATGATGAAATGGATTCAATCATGGGCAATAATACTTGGGTTCTAAGTGATTTGCCACCCGGTTGCACACCAATCGGTTGTAAATGGATTTTCAAGAAGAAAATGAAAGTAGACGGTACCATTGACAAGTTTAAAGCTAGATTGGTTGCACAAGGCTTTAAACAAAGACATGGTATTGATTACTTTAACACATATGCACCGGTAGCTAGAATAACTACCATAAGACTGTTAATTGCTTTATCGGCTATTCACAATCTTGTCATTCACCAAATGGATATCAAAACAGCATTCTTGAATGGTGAATTGGAGGAGGAGGTGTATATGAAACAACCCGAAGGGTTTGTTGTTAAAGGACAAGAAAAGAAAGTTTGTAAACTTGTCAAGTCCTTGTATGGTCTGAAACAAGCACCTAAACAATGGCATCAAAGGTTTGATGAGGTGGTGCTGAAAAATGGTTTTAAAATAAACCAATCAGACAAGTGCGTATATAGCAAATTTAATGAGCATGGTAACGGTGTCATTATTTGTCTATATGTGGATGACATGCTCATATTTGGCACTGATTTGAGGCAAGTGAAAGAGACAAAGGCTTTCCTCTGTTCAAGCTTCTCCATGAAAGATATGAGTGAAGCGAAAGTTATCCTTGGAATTAGGATAATTAAGCAAGGTAATACTATCACCTTAACACAATCTCACTATATAGAGAAAGTGTTGAAAAGATTTGGGAGTTTGGATTGTTCACCGGTTTCCACTCCCATGGATCCTAGTTGGAAATTAGTTCCAAATAGTGGGAACGTACGCTGTATCACAACTTGAATATATATGCTAGGGTAATTGGGTGTTTGATGTATGCAATGACTAGCACCCGGCCAGATATTGCATTTGCGGTAGGAAAGTTAAGTAGATATACTAGTAATCCTAGTATATTTCATTAGCAAGCCTTGAGGCGAGTGCTGAAATATCTAAAGAAAACAATGAGCTTCAACTTATGTTAAAAGAATGAACCCTCTATATTAGAAGGTTATACGGATGCAAGTTGGATAACTAATCTAAAGTATTATTCATCCACAAGTGGATGGTTATTCCTCCTTGGAGGAGGTGGTATTTCTTGGGCATCTAAGAAACAAACTTGTATCACGGACTCTACCATGGCTTCAGAGTTCATAGCTTTAGCATCAGCTTGAAAAGAAGCGGAATGTCTAAAGGACTTGGTGTCGGAAATTCCGATATGGCCTAAACCTATGGCTCCGATATCAATCCATTGTGATAGTGCATCAACTCTGTCAAAAGCTTATAACCATGTGTACAATGGTAAGTCAAGACACATAGGGTGAGACATAGCTATGTGTGGGAACTTATAAGTTCTGGAGTTGTTGTGATTGATTTTGTACGATCACATATGAATTTGGCGGATCCTTTTACAAAAGCGATGCCAAGAGACATGGTGTACAAAACTGCAAAAAGGATGGGGTTAAAGCCCTTGGAAAATAATCACAAGTGAAAGAAAGCACAACTCAACGTCTAGTACAACGCTAGATCTTGAGTTCAATGATGATGAGTAAGTCACTCCGTGATTGAAGCACTTTTGAATAATAACCATCCCGGGGTAAGTGCTTGAGACTGCAATGTGTTATGAGGTTGACTATGTCTTAATAGATCTTTTGATAAAGTGTTTGATTGCAGAACACGATTTGAAAAGACCTACCTATGTGAGCTAGAATGACGGCCGATTCACTAAGTTTAAGGCTTTACTTGTTGGAGCTCATGAATGGATATGGACACAAGGCCGTTAATAGTATCAAGTTTCTAAGTGAAATTGTATTAAGATTTGTGTGTGTAATATCTTCAATATTTCAAAGAGGTTGTATAGTTCAAAGCTTAGTCTATTATTATGATCCGAAATATTGTAAAGAATATTGCACTAAATGAAAGTTCAATCTTTACGACACTTTCAATTATGCATAAATCTTGATAAGTGGTCTATTTTGGCAAGGATTGAGCATGTTTATTTTCAATAAATGGAGGAGGATTGTTGGAGATTTATTGAAAATAAAACTCAATTGTCATTTTCATGGTCCTTAATCATTTTATAACGAAGTGTTATGATTTATTAAATTGATATTTAAATATAATTATTATTATTGGATTATGAGAACTACAATTCTACACGTGTAGTTGTGATCTCTCATAATAAGAATAATAATAATTAATTACGTTTTTCTATGCTCAATTAATAGCACTAAGTTTTAATATTACAAGTTCCGCAACAGTATTGGTTTAATATTTCTTTTAAAAAAGAAAGTTTGTGTTCCTTTGAAAAGGTGCGATGTTTCGTTTGAAGAAGGTTTGGTAGCCGTTTCAGCCATTCAGCGTATGAATATTTTTCGGTTGAAAAATCCTTTTGAAAGAGACACGATTTTACTTATAAAAACGTGGACCATGTTGAATTGAGGTTACGGCAAAAAAAATTTGTTATTCTTCTCAAATTGCCTTAGGGGCTGTTTACTTTTTTTCCATTAAGTCCTGAATGAGTTAAGTCATCTGTCTGGATTAAGATATCTGTCTGGATTAAGTGATACTGAGATAACAAACTATTTACTATGTGTGCTGAATGAGATGTCTGAATTATGTCAAATGACCAAAAACCCTCATGCCTGGAAAAAGTATAGAATGTATATTGTCTGTTTACTTTCTTCATTCTAAATGAATTCTAAATGATGATGATAATTTCATATGTTTAAAAACATTATATTATAATTACTTACTTAATAGACATAACATTAGCTACTAATCAAAATTCTCAAACTTTAAAACAGAACCAATGTTTTCTATATTTAGTTCACAGAGCAAGCATAAAAATTAGAATAACATTTAAGATAAGTATCACTGGTCCAGATTTTGAGATGAAAATCTACCTCTTCCACCCTAAACAATGAGCCCAAAAAAATAATTTCAGATATTCGTGGACAAACGATGAATGAATAATAAGCATACAATATTAACATCCTGGAAACAATAAGCATACAATATTAGCATCAATCACAAAGTAGCAGATATACAACCTAAGTTTTTACAATATGTCATATTATAATTAAGTTAAATTATAGGAATTTTACCAAAATATATAAATGGAGTAGATTTACCTGAAAAATGGAAAATTGTTTGGCCTACACGTTAGCAGCAATTCACGACTTCCACATGGAACAGCAATTCACGACTTCCACATGGAAGAGGCCATCACTTTTTGCATTCTTCTCCCACAATTTGTAAAAGGAGTGAATTTATCATGAACAAATTGATTTCACCTAGCCCTACAAACTGTCTGAAGCTTTCTAATGGTGTGAATTTATCAGAAAATAAATGAGTTTGCCGAACATTTGCACCGTTCACAGCTTTCATATGACCATACGGCCATACCCATCAATTTGAGAATTCTTCTCCCTCAATTTGTGTAATTTCAAAAATCAAAATGGAATCCAAAAAGCCTAATTCTTCCCAAAAATACATAACAAGGAGCTTAACCCAATATAGGAAACCTCAAGCACCGACCGAAACCTTCTTTTATAAGGGGTTTATGATTAAAAAAACAGAAAACCCAATTAGAACGGATGAGAGGAAATATCAAAATAAATGAGTAAGGGCTGATGTGCTTTGTTGTCTAGCTCCGATCGTCGAAGCTCACAAGCTTGTTCAGAGTATTATGATGTCTCGCAGAAACTATGGAGTATCGAGAGGGTCAGGGAGAAGTCAGGGTTAAAAATGAACCTTCTCGTAAGTGAACATGTCTGAAGCGCAAGGAGAGTTAAAATCCCGCTGAACGAATAAGTCACAACTTGACTGAGCGAATAAGTCATTTTTATCATTAAGTCGCAAGTAAACACGAGTATATGGATGGACGATTAAGTCATCTATTCAATTAAGTCCATTAAGTCGTAAGTAAACGGGGCCTTACTCTATTACTAATAGGCAGTGTTAGTAATAAAGTGTTTAGAATACTTTTTATACATATCACTTGTTTAGTGTTATTTTGTCAGTAGCCAAAATACACTGTACACCTTCTTTTTATCCCAAAAGTTCTATCT